AGCCAGAGGTGAAGAGCTACAACTCCCATCATCCCTGACAATTCATGGGGTTGCCATAAATCAACAGGTAACTTGAAGGCACATACCCACCCATCCACAAATATTTACCTGTACTCTGTACACTTATTCTGAAATCCATGGTTTCTCTAGACATACTTATTAGGATTGCACCAGAATTTCATGATTGTGCTATTAAATTAAAATAAAATTAAAAAAATTAAAATAACTTAAAAGACCATGTTGGAGAGCAGAGAATGAACATACAATATTTCACTTGGGAATTATTGGGAATCCCATTATCTTCCCTGTCCAACCACTGGAAGTAGTCTGGGGTTACCCTGCTGGAGATTCCCAGGGGATACCAAAGCGAGGAGCAATGAAAGGACACCTACACTGCATCCACTAAGCTCCCAATGAACTTGTCCCTCCTGGTTCGTGGACTTGCCATCTGCGATTTTGATCCTTTGCAGGAGGAACAAAATGGTGCACCTGCCTGCGGTGCATATGCGGCAGTGCACACAGGAACACCCCCCCCATTAAAATAAATGGGGCTTGAATATTCACATTTTTTCCTGTTTTTTTTTGGGGGGGGGTCCAGAATGTGAAAGATGACTGTATTACAATAAAGCAAAATGAGACATTTGGACTGGTTACTAAACCATAGTGAGATATGAGGCTCATTAATGAATTATTTCAGTTATTATTTTAATTATTTCAGAAAAGAATAGATTCTGGTACAGCACTGGGAGAGCCACAACATCATGTGACAAGCTCCAGGTAAAGGCAAGGCTAATGCAGTGTAATTGAGGTGTGCCAAAGTTGTGTGGTAAGCTCCTTAGCACCCTGTCTCAGAATTTGTCTATTGCAAACATTCTGGTTATAGGTCTGGTCAGCAGAAATTAATTCTTATTTCCCCAGTGAAGAGTACTGCATCCCCATTTCCATCTATCAAATGTGCAATGAGTGAAAAGTCAGTCTTGCAATCAAAACAATTATACTCAAGGATAATTGCTAAGAAAAGTCAAATAAAAGCATCACCCATTTAAAACAATGTCACTGCACAGTACGGTGATGGTTTTGGTGAATGATTATTTGATTTTGTTTGAGCACTAGGATAATTAAAGCCAAAAAGATGCAGACAAAATATTTGATGCCTCTAAGAAAATTGACAGATGTTTAGCAGTCTCAATAAAAGAAAAGTACTATTGCTATCAGTACCCCTTTTAAAAGAGGGTCCTTTAAAAATATACCAGTGAAATAGCTCATGTACAGCTTTTCATTGGTATTCAGAAAGATGCTTCAGGCCTGTACTTTTGACAGGCTATTTAAAATGTGTGAGAGAGGGAGTCTTCCATAATAAGGTTATGCTGTATTGATTTGCCTTTCAAGTATTTATGTATTATATGTGCTATTTCCAGAAAAGGAGGTGGGAAAGTGCACTCCTTTGGTGCCCAGTTCTTTCAGAGTGCAAAGTGAACTGGGGAATCAGAAGATAAAGGAAGTATAAGTTGTATGTAGAATTTTTTTTTGTCTTGCAGGACTATGATTATCACAAATCCTGGTGAAATTCTATACATGTAGTGGGCCCTTAGTATCTGCTGGGGTTTGATTCCAGGACCACCCCCATGGATACCAATATCCATACATGCTCAAGTCCCATCAAATACAATGGCATAGTGAAATTGTAACCCTTATATAAAATGGCAAAAATCAAGCTTTTGGGAATTTATATATTTAAAAAATATGTTCAAGCCATGGCTGATTTAATATGTGGATAAAGAATCTATTTGGAGAAAATCCCATTGAAGTCAGTGGAATTCAGTTCCAAGTAAAAAGGCATAGGATTGCACTGCTAATCATGTTTCTTAGGTTAGAAAAATAAAGATGTTAGGGTTACAGAACAATGCAGTAATTCACAAGTCTGAGAAAAATAATATGTATGAACACTATCTTGGAAGGTACTCTTCTAAAATATTACAAGCAGCATCCATTTTAGACCTTTGTCCACCTACTGTACTCTATACATTATATGTATATTGTATAGGTGGTGATGGCAGCAAATAATTCTCATTGTGCTAATGGATGGGCACCAGTTCAGTATTAGATTTAGATGAATATTCCTTATAAAAACAAATCTGAAACAAAGAAGCCAATGCTCCCTTCCTCTGCTGTCTACTGTACATATCTTTGTGCCCTGTATAAATGTGCCATCTGTTTGGTTGGTAGCTTCTATGTTCATGGGACACTTTGGGGTTTAGTCTAAACTTACATTGAACTCTATTGCCAAAATATGTTCAGCACCATGGATAGCTCCTTTTGACTACAGACTGAAAAACAGAATAAATTCATCTAGAAGCCACCACTAAATACAGCAATCCAGACAACACAATTCTATTATTTCTGGGATTTGAAGGTAAGCAATAAACATGGTCTCATTAACTATGAAAGTACTGAACTCCAGATATGCTGTACCATTGGGCCATTCAAAGGTGTATAGGAAATCTGCATGTGTTGCCATTTATCCAGCATTACGAAACTATCTGTACCCACTGTCTTGGGTGCTGATAGTGTGAGTGTGTGTGTGCGCGCCTTCAAGTTGCTAGTCGCCTTATGTCGACGCCCTGAATTTCATAGGGTTTTCTTAGGCAAGGACTATTCAGAGGTGGTTTTACCAGTTCCTTCCTCTGAAATATAGCCCACAGGACATGGTATTTGTTAGCAGTCTCCTATCTGAGTACTAATCAGGGCTGACCCTGCTTAGTTTTCTTAGCTGCTTAGATCAGAAGGGATCTGTTACTATTAGGATATTTAGGGCCTCTGGTGCTGAGTCTACTAGGAGGTAATTTACTGATGTGCAGTTTATCAAATGAGATGAAGCATTCATACTGGCAAAGATCTCTGCTTTTGGCTTTACTGTTCTCCTTCTCTGGACCTTACCTTCATACTCAATTTATACAAAGGCAAACAGATGACACAAGGTGATGATGATATCACTGCTCTGGCTGTATTGATCATTCCCACCATCAACTTTTCCATTAAAGCATTACTCCTGTATTTTGCTGCTTTGTCCTAAATCCAATACCAATATAATTCAACTCTGAGTAGCTGTGCACAAATTACCTTCATCACATTGATTTTCAGTTATGCTAAACCACAATTGTGTTCATATTGTTTTGTTGTAGTTTGTGAATCACACTATTTGTTATTGAAGTTTTGTAAAAAGCGGTTTTGAAAACAGATCATTATTCTTTATTTTGATTGTTTATTTGAAAGGCTAACTTTAAACATCCATATGAAACCTGGTGTAAATATTGGTGATTCTAATACAGCCAGAACCATTTCTCAAACTGTTTGTAGATTTTAGTATCTTTGGCTTGAACATGGCAACATACATTGGGCCCTTGCTATCTGCTGGAGTTTGGCTCCAGGACCCCCCATGGATGCTCACATCCCATTACAGTGGCATAGAGAGCCAGTGTGGCAAAGTGGTTTGAGTGTTGGAATGTGACTCTGAAGACCAAGGTTCGATTCCCTGCTTGGCCATGAAACCAACTGGGTGACCTTAGGCAAGCGACACATTCTCGGCCTCAGGGGAAGGCAAAGGCAAAAAGGCGCAAAGGCGCAAAGGCAAAAAGGCAAAAAGGCAAAAAGGCAAAGGCAAAGGCAAAGGCAAAGAATAAATCTTGCCAAGAAAAGCCCATGGGAGGTTTGCCTTAGGGTCGCCATAAGTCAGAAACGACTTGAAGGATACAACATGCACACAGAGTAAAATAGTGTCCCTTATATAAAATGGCAAAATCAAGCTTTGCTTTTCGGAATTTATGTATTTTATTTATTTATTGAAATTTTAAAATATATACATAAATTCAAACATTACAAATAATGACTATAGGCCTAAGCAGACGGCCAGAAATAGTGCACATTAAATTGAGGCACTGCCCTGGCTTAGTGCTAGGGAATCATGAGAATTGTATTTTTTTCTGAGACATTGAGCCTTCTCTGTCAGAGAGCCCTGGTGCCACAATACATTACAGTTCCCATGATTCCCTAGCACTGAGCCAGGGCAGTGCCTCAATTTAATGTGCACTATTTCTGGCAGTCTGCTTAGGCCCTATAACTTTTGACATCCTTTCTTCCCCAAGCACACATCCATCCACTCTTCTTTCATCCAGACTAAAACATTTGTTCAGCAGCAACAACAACGACATACCTTTACTTCAGCCAACAGGCCAACATTTGTTATTTCCATAAGTTATCCACATTCAGTGATTTACAAGTCGTTTTGTTCAATTTGGTCTATCTGTTTAGTCTTTCATTTCTGTCCACTTTACTTCTTATTGCAGGATATTCTTCCATACTTCAGTTTGATTGACTTTTCTTCTTCCTTTATGTCTCCACATATAAGTAGTGTCCATTAACTGATGTCTTAACGTCAAATCTTACTCCAGTAACTCCTTGGTTTACCTTCTCTATCATACCATAACTAATTATTCTCTATCATGTAATCAAATACTTTCTCCCAATTTTTTTCATTTTCCAAATTTAACAATTTTGTTGACAGTATATCCATTTGTCTCATTTCCAGTAATTTAATTGTCCATTCTTCCACATGGGGGCATGTTTTTAATTTCCAGTATTGTGCATAAAGTAATCTAGCTGCTGTAAGCATATAAAAGAAAGTAGGCCTGAATCTTTAAAATATGTCTTAGAGAAGTAAGCAGAAGCCTTGAGCATTGAACCTGGTTCTTTGAGGTAGAAATTGACATTCCTTTCCTTGGGAACATAAGGGAGTACAGCTACAACAGATAACATGTTTCTGAGGGGTGAATAGACGATAGATGAATTTAGTTTTGCCATGCATAAGCAAAAAACACGTATGTGATGTAGTAAGCGAAGCTTGAGAAGCCAGTCATGGGTTATTGTCCATGCAGTGTTCATGAGCTTAGACTATGTTGTATGTAAAATGTTGTCTTCCAATCACAGTTTGCTCTGATGCCATAGATACAACTGTAAACTGTATAAGAATGCTGTTCTCACCAGCAATGGGAGGACACGTGATTTGCTACTAAGCCGCGTGTACTCAATTGCAAGATTTAATAATGTGCTATAAAGAATCTCTCTCTCAGTGTGTGAATTGGGACCCTGGCATGCTGGACACGAATCCACACTCAGAAGGGCCTTTCTGAAGTTTAAGGTAACAGAATCATTCCCTTATAAAGAAAGTTGAGTTGTGTAGCTTAACAAAAAGCTAAAAAGAGACATGACTGAGGTGTATACATTCATGTTTGGTGGAGAGAAAGTATACGGGGAGATATTTTCCCTCCTCTGTGTGTTAATATTAGACTTCAGGGTCATTCACTGCAGCTAAATGGAGGAAGAAAAAAAAGGAAGTATTTTTTTTACACAGTGCATTGTTAAACTGGAGAATTCACTGCTGTAAGATGTAGTGATGGCTGTCAACCTGGATAGCCTTAAAAGGGGGTTAGATAAATTCATAGAAGATGGAGCCACCAATGGCTACTAGTCAGGGTAGCCAAAGCCCCCTCTCCTCCCCAGTATTATAGGCAGTTTGCATTTGTGTACTGATGGTTTGGGAATATGAGACAAAGTTATTGTTGCAGCTATATCCTGCTAGTGGGCTTCTTATAGCCAACATGCCATATTTCTGCACTACACCCTTATAGTGCTGCTATTCCATTATTACTGCCCTGGCTGCCTCCTGTTGCATTCTGAGGCTTGTAATTCAGTGAGGCCTAAGAGCTCTCTGGCTGAGAATTCTAAATGCTCCCCTAAACTGCAAATCCCAGAATGCAACAGGAGGCAGCCAGAGTAGTTAAAGTGGAATAGCAGCACTATAAGAGTGTAGTGTAGAAATGTGGATGGTTTCCACTGTGTGCAGAGAATGTTGGACAAGATAGGCCTCAGGTCTGATCCAACATGGCTCTTCTTATATTCTAACAAGATAACATTTAATTGTAAATTATGGCAAGTGAATTTAAATGTCACCCCACAAAGTCACCTAGGTAAAGGGCAAAGGTAGTCCCTTGACATGAATGTCTAGTCATACCCTACTGTAGGGGG